TCCAACCCCTAAAACTGATTGTCTGTTATAAGCAACTTGTACTGCCAGGCTTGTTTTCTTGCTGATGATTATGTCCCTACTCCCCACTTGTCTCACTGTCAATTCTTGTTGCAGTATTTAGCACTGCTGGACTCAAGAGCTGCTTCTCTGGCAATCTGCACTGATAATGGAAGAACAAGAGCCCAGCAGAGCACAGCTCTGGGTTTTGTAAAGTGATGACATGTGGTGTGATTTAATGCTTTTAGTTTTACTAGTACAGGAGAAAGATTGTATGAGAATTTAGCACTAGATGTAGCATGGGATGTGACTTTTTATTGTTGCAGTGGTCACAGAGGAAGGAAAAATACTGAAAAAGAAAAAGATGAGCCCATATCTTCTGTTTCCAAGGAGATTAAGCCTTCAGAGGAGTCCAAAGCATCTGCATTGGCCTTCAGACGTCCCAACCATGCTTCTAAGAAGTTGAATAAGCAGCGTATTTGTGGTGAAAAGAAACAGCAAAGCAGAGGTTCTGAGTCTCCAACAGAATGTGATCAGAATGAATGCAGCAGCAGCAGTTCTAAGCATGCTTCCCACGGTACCATTTCTCAGGAAAGTGAGTTCAAAGAGAGCACCTCCCCAGAGAGCAAGAAAGCTTCAGGAAAGCAGCATTCCTCTGCAGCCAAGAAAGACTTAACATCCCTGAAGAAAAAGCCTAGTAAAGATGATTCCAAACAGAGAAATCCTAAATGTATGAAGAAACCCAAGGAAAAACCTGTCACAAAAGGCAAAGCCAAATTATCTAGTGATGAGGAATTTGAGCCCCCTACTATGTCTTTCGAATCTTATCTTAATTATGATCAGGTTACCAACAAAAGGAAGAGGAAAGCTTGTTCTACGGGTGCAAGGCCAAAGAAAGGCAGTGAACACAACAGCTCATTACCACAGAAGACTTCGAAGCTTTCACCTGCAAAAGAGGCAGTGGAAGATGTCAAAAAATGTGAGAGTGATCAATCAGAAACTCCCAGTAAAAAGGTAAACCTTTGCATGGTTGAGGTAACAGCAGATAAGTGGTTTTGAGTCTTCATTTCAGTCAGATTGGTCTGTGTGTTTTGAGGAGCAGATTGGATGGCTCTGATGTTTCAGCTGCATTGCAATTGCCAGTAATTGCTATAACTTTGGGAAAAAGATGACTTGATTGCATACTGGCAGTTTGCAATCAACTTAGTTGTATTTTTAGGGTTATTTCCAATACTGCGATAGTGTTTGATCCATATTGGCTAATTTGCTCTTAACCTACACAGTGAGAAGTTACTTACCTTTGGAAAGGTGTCTCCTCCTTCCAGTCAGTCTTGACCAGCCTAGTTTATGGCTGCAGCAGCTGTTTGTGTATAGCACAGGTTCCCTAACAGTGAATGTTAAGGTTTGCAATGGAACTAAAGCTTCTTCCTTCAATGCACTGAAATAAATCACAGTATTGCATATAAAATTAGATTATACATGTTCCTAACCTGAGCTGTCCTAGTCCCTTGAAGTGGAAGAAGTGTAAGTAGCTGCTCTGAGTCAAGGTACAGCTAAAGATGTGTATTAGAATCATAGAATCATTAAGGTTGGAGGAGACCTCTGAGTCCAACCCTTAGCCTGCCACTCTGCTGTATTAATTAGACCTTTTACATTAATACCTTTTGTGTGCTGGAAATTAGAGGTCTTTTCAGTCTGTTATCTTCACTGTGATGTGAAGACTTCTGGCTTTATTGCTAAAGTTCTGCAATCCAAATGTGATATTTTCTGTCCCAAGTGGCCAAATATTCATGTAGAAGCCCATGTACCATACTCTAGCATAAACTGTTTGAGGAAAAGTCTTGGATATCCAAGCAGTTGTGCAAAGTTATTGAACATACTGAAATGAAGTTCAGAGAAATGCAAATTTTGGGCTGTAAGTGCCTGAGTAAAAATTGGATGACACCTAAGTCCCAATTTAGATGCTGCTCATAATACATTTCTAGGGACCTGTACATAAAACAGCTGCATCTTTAAATCCCTTTTTAAGGGGTTATCTGTGAACATTTTAGGCTAAATGGCTTACTGAGCATGATCTAAGAGACTTGATAGGACCAGGTATGAAGCTGTTTCTTGTCTTTTGGGGTCAGTTGGTCATCTTGCAGTTTTGTCTCATTCACTGCATGTCTCAATAGTGATATATCTGAGAACCTGTTAGCTGAACATAGCTACTCTCTCCTTTAATCTCTTTCTATGCACTAATTGCAGATATCATAGAAGCATAAAAGCCAGGTTGGAAAAGTCCAACCCTCCCGTGGTCACTAGCCCATGGCACTAAGTCTCAGCTTGAAAACCTCCAGGGATGGTGAATCCGCCACCTCCCTGGGCAGCACATTCCAATGCCTGAGCACTCTCTCTGGAAAAAATCTCTTCCTAATCTCCAACCTAACCCTCCCCTGGCAGAGCTTGAGTCTGTGCCCTCTTGTCCTGCTGCTGGTTGCCTGGGAGAAGAGACCAACCCCCACCTGACTCCAACCTCCTGTCAGGGAGTTGCAGAGGGTGAGAAGGTCTCCCCTGAGCCTCCTCTTCTCCAAGCTGAACACCCCCAGCTCCCTCAGCCTCTCCTCATGCCACTTGTGCTCCAGTCCCTTCCCCAGCCTCGTTGCTCTTCTCTGGACCTGCTCCAGCCCCTCAATGTCCCTCCTGAGCTGAGGGACCCAGAACTCAGCACAGGATTCAAGTTGCTTATGTGATACAGTCTTAGTAAGTAGAGTGTGAAAAGGTACACTGAAAGTAATTCCATCCTTATGTGATATAGTCTTAGTAAGTAGAGTATGAAAAGGTACACTGAAAGTAATTCCATGAGTAAATCTTAGTATAGAAAAGTAATAATTCTAGTTAATTTTGGGGCTTGTTTAAGGATGGGGTTTTTGTAGCTTATTTTAAGCCTTGGTAAACCTAAATTTATAACACTGAAGCAATGTTTCCTTGACTATACACAGGCCAAAGTGGCATCCCTCCAAGAGCTTCTCAATACTCCACTGCCAAAATCTCTGACAGACATCTCCATCTCATCTCCCCCATATGCTGCAGACTTTGCAGGTAAGGAGTATACAAGACTAAAAAATGTGAAATACTGCAGGTTTTTCCAGCTCTGTGTATAGATGTTTTATCCCCTTTTCTAGTAAACTGTATTAGCTCATCTGTCCATGGCAAAGAAGGGCCTCACCTTCACTTTCTCATCTGTAAAAATTGTGTTGATGCTGAAGGGAGTTGTAAAGTCTTCCTTCTTATGGCTTGTTCAATGAAGAAATACTGTGGAGGGTTAACACAGGTGTAGAGAAGGCATAAATCAAGTGGTAGTTCTACAGGCTCCATTTATCTTTACTCCTATCTATAACTTAGAGCAGGCAAAGCCTTAGTAGAAATTTCTTAGATAAAACAAATACATGAAGCAGTAGGTGTACCTTTGGCATAGAACCCATGAGCCTCTTTATAGGTAGGTGATATAAAGTGTCAGTGTTTCTCCTAGAAGTTCTTCTGAGGTTTCATGCCACTAAGGCTTTGAAACAGCACTGCTCTTGCAGCTTCTCTAGGAGAACTCAGGAGGATCAGACAGGTAACAAGGTAATCTAGGTGTCAATACAGACCAGAGCTAAATAATTCAAGACTGGTTTGACTTGGTGCAGCTCACATGCAATGTGCATGCTGTCCTGGGGTTAGATGACAGTGAATGGACTTCTATAACATCCAATACCTGCAGGGGCCCTTAACTGTAGTGCAGTAACTTGATATTTCCAGAAAAAGTAATATATAGAATCATAGAGTCATCAAGGTTGGAGGAAACCTCTAAGATCATACAGTCCAAGCATTAACCTGTCAGTCTGCTGTAAGCCCTAAACCAGATCCTCCAGCACCAGATCCAGATGCCTCTGAAATGCTTCCAGGGATGGTGACTGCACCAGCTCCCTGGGCAATATTCCAGTGCCTCAACACCCTCACAGGGAAAACATTTCTCCTCACCCCCAATCTGACTCTGCCCTGGCTCAGCTCAAGGCCATTCCCTCTCTCCTCTCCCTCAGCCCTGGCAGGACACACATCCCACACCTCTCTCCAGCCCTGGCAGGAGTTGCAGAGAGCCAGGAGGTCACCCCTGAGCCTCTTCTCCAGGCTGACCAACCCAACTCCCTCAGCCCTTGCCCATGTGCTCTGCCCTTTGCTGCCCTCGTTGCCCTTGGCTGGACTCGCTCAGTGCCTCAATGGCCTTTGGGCAGTGAGTGCCCAAAGCTGAGCACAGCACTGAGCTGGGACCTCCCCAGTGCCCAGTGCAGGGGGATGACACTGCCCTAGTGCTGCTGCCACACTCTGCTGAGCCAGGACAAGGTGCCCTTGGCCTCCTTGGCCACCTGTGCACACTGTTGGCTCCCACTGAGCTGTGCCACCAGCACTGCCAAGGCCCTTTCTGATGAACAAGTAGTGACCTCCCAGCTGTGTTCTGCTTCAGAGCTGAATGCTTCAAGCATTGTGAAACCTGCCTGATGTTTTGCTTGCAGCTTCTGTAGCACCTGTGGTAGAAGTACCCCAGCAAGTCAGCGAGACAGCTCAGTTCACAGGACGGAGACTCAACTCTAAGATGCAGGTTTACTCTGGCTCCAAGACAGTTTGTCTTTTGAAGATGCTTACACTGTATGAGCAGTGCATCCGTGTGCTTCAAAACAATATTGATTGTGAGTACTTTAAGGGATTTGTAGCAAGCTGTGACTGAAGGCATATCAGATTTTGTTGTCTCCATGGCCTACTAAAAGATACTGTCTCTCCCTACAAACAAGTGACTCAGAGCAGGTTGAAAGGCACTTACAAAAATGGGTTGCTAGCTGTGCTAAAGTGATGTTTGTGTTTTGAAAGCTTTCTATTTTTAAGGTTCTACTTTTACTTAAAAAAATCACTGAATCAGTTAGGTTGGAAGGGACCACAATGGGTCACCTGGTCCAACCTCCCTACTCCAGCAGGGCCCTCCCAGAGCTCATGGATCAGAGTTGTGTCTAGATGGTTGTTGTCCCTACTCCGGCCCTCCCAGAGCTCATGGATCAGAGTTGTGTCTAGATGGTTGTTGAATAACTCCAGTGAGGAGAATCCACGACCTCTCTGGGCAATCTATTTAGTGCTCAGTGACTGCACAGGAAACAGGTTTTACCTAGTATTCAGGTGGAGCTTCCTGGGCATCAGTTTTTGCCGTGAAATATAATGTCCTATAAATTATAAGCCCAAAAAGATTTCCCAGCTCACCCCCAAAATGTTTGCCTACATAAATTAGAATGACTGATCAAGACATTCATTTCTTCGTTGCCTGGGCAGAGAGGAGAGTGATGCACATCAGTAAAGATGGTGCAAGACTATTCAAAGCTGCTTTATCATCCTCAAGTATAACTGCTAGTCAGTCTGGAACTGCTGATTTGTAAATACTTTTGTAGCCTGACTTCTGTTAGTGCTTGCAAAACTTAACTTGTATTTTCACTCTGAAACTGTTTGAGTGGTGTTACCCATTGAGTAAAATAAGTGAGATGCTGAAAGTCCTGTCCTCTTTTTGTAGTGCTACAAGAAGTAGGAAATGTGCCCTTTGAAATTCTTGAGCCTGTGCTGACACGTTGCACACCTCAGCAGTTGTTTTGAATAGAGGAGTATAACCTGGTAAATTCTGCCTTGTTAAATTCAGGGAAGCACAGAATTCCACAACTCCATGGGTTGCACTGGTTTTTTGTCTTGCATACTTACTTCTTGGGGTTCAGCTGTCATTATCAAGTCTTCCTTTCTCAAGTGTCAGGATATAAAGCACTTGGGAGAATTGTTATGATGACCAAGTGATGCACAGTGTGTATAGATTTCTGTTTCTAAAAGTAAGAAAGACAAGATGACCACAGTATTGACCACTGAAACATCTGGTAAAGTCATAATACAACTGTTTTCAAGTTCCAAGCTGTTAAGGCTGCAAAGCTCAACAGTCAGGAAGTAGATGAGATTTTGTGTGTCTGGTAGATATCTGTTAGGACTTCATGATATATTTGGACATTGAGGTTCTGAGTTTGTAGCCCTTCATAGCATCATAGACTCATCAAATTGAAGAACTCTGAGATCATCAAGTCCAACCATTAGCTGCCACTTTGCTGTAGTGCAGGTTAGCTTCTCTACATGTTTCAGGCTGAGGTTTGAAGTGGCCTGAGCCTTTGCTTTAAACAGTGTAGGCTCTAGGCATGGTTTGAGGACTCCAGAGCTCTGCTCTCTGAAGCTGTGTGGTTTCTGGGGTGAAGTCACTATCTCTGCACGGTGTTGCCACACTTGATGTTGGGGGTACCTGTGACAGCATGTGTGGTGGGATTTGTTCTGCACCTTTTTCCACCAAGGGTTTGGGCTGTGTCTGCAGGCTCAGCTAACTGAGCTCACTCTTCAAAATGTTGGTTTGAAGTCTTTGATTTAAGCCATCTTGTGTTCAAACTAGGCATTTATAAAAGAGTCTGACCACTTGTGGAAGAAACACTGCCAGAGAGACTTTAAAAATGAGAGCCTCCTGGAAAATGAGTCTTGGCGTGAGTTGTACTTGAGGCTGTTTAATCAGAGAGAAGAAAAACTGAAGATGCTTACAAAAAATATTCTTACAGCACAGTCTGAGAAACCAAAAGGTAAAAATATGTGGTTAAGTCTTCCACTTACAAAACACAACCTCTTCTGTCCTTGACAATGTGTAGGGTTTAGTAATTTGTTTGCAGTGAGCTAATATTGTACTTCAACTCATCAAGAACCAACACTGTTCCTCTTAATTGAAAAGTTGCTCCAAAAAGAAATCCATGCACTGCCACAATACTTTGCTGTATGCTGAAAGTAATATGCATTAGACAAATCTTACTGATAGGACAGGATTCTAAGCAGAAATGCAAAGAGTTTTGGACATAAAACCCAGAAAAAGTCACAGATCCTCTGCTCCTGCTTCTGTACTAGGAAGGAAAGTGAAAATGGCTTATATGAGCAGTGCAGCAAAACCACCCAGGGACATTCGCCGAAAGCAGGAAATCCATGGGACAGCAGGACCTTCCAACCAGCTTCATCCCATGGGGAAATTCAAGTAAGTGTTCTGTACTGTGCTTTTAAGTTGAGTTTAGGTGTCTTTGTCAGCAAAGGTCCTAAATAACTCTCAAGTTACTTTCCTTTTTATAAGCAGCTCATGGCCAGAAACTAACTTGCTTTTTAAGTCTGGTGTTCTCCTCTGCTGTGTGTGCATTGCCATGGCTTGTGTCTCCAGAGTGCCAGTCATGAATTGACCCTCCCAGCTGGAGGGTGAGTGGATGCTGTTGTTTTTCTCCAGATTACACTAAAGCCACTTGACATCCTGGGGAGATTCTATTGTTGATGTTTTGGGTTTATAAACCTGCCTGGTAGCCTCACATGTTTTCCTGCTTTGATAAGATCCCAGTCAGCTGCCTGGAGCGAGATATATATATATATATATGAATGACTGGTGTAAACCTTAGGAACTTTTATTACTAGTTTGAGGTTTTTTTCTCTGTGAATTTCAGGAGCTTAGTAGAACAGCTTTGGCTCACTGCTCAAGATGGTTAAAAGAGGTGGCTTGGGGTGAACTAATCATTCCCTACAACTCCTGCCAGGGTTGGAGAGAGCTGGGAGATGTCTGTCCTGCCAGGGCTGAGGGAGAGGAGAGAGGGAATGGCCTTGAGCTGAGCCAGGGCAGAGTCAGATTGGATGTGAGGAGAAATGTTTTCCCTGTTAGGGTGTTGAGGCACTGGGATATTGCCCAGGGAGGTGGTGCAGTCACAATTCCTGCAAGTGTTCAAGAGGCATCTGGATGTGGCACTGGAGGATCTGGTTTAGGGTTTAGGGATTCCAGCAGTGACAGGTTAATGGTTGGACTTGATGATTTTAGAGGTCTCCTCCAACCTAACATTTAGGGTTAGTTATTGTGCTTTTTGCTAGTCATTCATAATTTAAAGATAAAAAAGCTCATGTAAATTTGGCCTTATTTTCAGTTAGAGCTAGTTAGGAGTTAGCTGTGTTGAAAACAAACACCAAGTACAGGTTAGAGCCTTATTTTCAGTTAGAGCTGGTTAGGAGTTAGCTGTGTTGAAGAGGAAAACAAACACCAAGTACAGGTTAGAGCGTGGGGCATTATCAATCTCAGTGGTACTGCTGACCATTTTGAACTGTCACAAGCTCTGATCTTATTTTAAAGTCTAATTTTAAAGACTAATAAGATACATCAGGTCTTATAAATGCAACAGTTGTGCAAGAATGACAATGAACAAGATGACCAACTGTGATCCCTTCTAACCTGAATTGTCCTATGTTTTTTAAATGTATAATGTCTCTTAAAAGTGTTTGATGGGATTTTTTTGTTTTTAAACTAAGCCAGAGAAAAGAGTAGCATGATATCAAGTGCTAACATTTTTCTTATTTCCTTTTATAAACAGAACAAGGTTTCCAGAAAGCAGAGACAGAAATAACACATCATCCAATCCGATCTCTGCTCAGGAGAGAAGCTCTAGCTCAGGCATCATGACTCAAGATGGAAAGAAGCCTATCAAAAGTAAATGGAATTTTCTAAGATTATCCAGATCATTGTTCTAATTTGCTGCCTACCAATGCATACTTCATATCATGCTAATACCATTTTAAGTCTCTCTTAGCTGTAATCCTAACTGGTCTCTTTGTTTTGCTGTCATTGAAGGACTGGCACCCATCATGAGGAAGACTTTGAAAGCATTGAAGAGCAGAGCTGGGCACCGATAGAGTGAGGTTCTGTATTTCAATCATATGTGATGTGATTAGTTGTATATCATTCTACAGCCAATGGAATTTGTGTTCATGTAAACACTCTTCAATCTGCCTTAGTTAAAATAGTTATGAAACATTGCAGGGGAAAATGGTTAGCAATAAACAATGAAACATGAGTCCCTTCGTGGTGCTGCTTTCTTACTTGGATTGAAATAAGGTCAGTACACACTAATTCCAGAATCAGTTAGGTTGGAAGGGATCACAATGGTCATCTGGTCCCACCTCCTACTCCAGCAGGGCCAGCCCAGAGCTCATGGCTCAGGGTTGTGTCCAGATGGTTGGGGTTGGTCTGTGAATGGGATTACTTTTAGAAATGAGATGTCTTCGTAGTTTCATCATTTCAACCAGTTCACTTGCATGAATTGTAAGCCTGACCTTGCCTTGAAGGCTTGCAAGTGGGGGAGCTCTTTCTGTAGACTGAACTCAATCATTTCAAGTAGGTCTTGTTTCTTCCTTTCTACTTCTACAGGATTTTCATCTTAGAACTCCTCATGAAGCACAGGGTAAGGTCGTCGTGAAACCGGTTGCTGTCTCTTACTCACAGCATCTTATGTGTGAATTTCCTCACCATTCTATGTTAGGTATTACAGGTGGATGACAAATATGCTGCTGCTAAAAAAGGCTTTTACAGTCATTTAATATAGTCACCCATACATAACAGCTTGTGCAGATGTCCTGTTAACAGAGGGGCTTGAAGCCAGCAGGTGTGCTGCTGTGTTTTCTCTCCATCCACTGTAGTTGCTCTAAAAAGAATGAGAGCTGAAAGCAGTTGTGTTGACCTGGAAACACAGTGGGGAGCTTTTCTCTGTTTCTGGGATCAAAACAAGCATTGACTAGTGGGAGAGGTGGTGCAGCATCTGTCATACAGATCTGAAGAGTTCATCCCAAAAACATTCTTTACAGGGCTTAAAATTAAACCTGGCTGAATGGCCAGTGTACCACTCTTTGTCTCCCCAAACACTTTTGGTCATCAGAGAGTGATTAATCAGTTGGTGGCAGAAATTCAATTTGGCTGGAGGTTTGTGTCAAGTGTGGTGTGAATTGTTCAACTGGTTTGTTTGTTTGTTTGTTTGCTTATTCTTCAGTGGGTTTTTTGGCATTTTAGAGGTTTTTTTTTCCCCCTAAATCATTTCTATTTGCTGTAGTATTCTTCAGTGGGTTTTTTGGCGTTTTAGAGTTTTTTTTTCCCCTAAATCATTTCTATTTGCTGTAGTTACTGATGGTATTCCCTTATGTGAAAACCCCAAAGTGTTCTGTTGGACTCTGGCCTTAGAGAACACAGGGGTGTTCAGAGGATTGGACTCTGTTCAGAGCAGATATAGATGACAGGAGTGTCCCCTTGGGAGTCTGAAGGATAAATAGCTGTTTTAACTTGTTGACTTACATTGTTGATTGGAGATAACTTTTCCTATCCTCGTCACTGGTAGCACAGTTGTGTGGAGGGCAAATTTGTCTTCAAAATTAAGTAGCTTTCATTTCCTCCTCTTCCTTTCTCTCACTTCAAAGGCTCTAGATAGAGCTCTGGTAAGAGATATGCAGAGGGTATTCATGGGCCCAGATTGCTGTCCTGACTGATTTCTACTTGAGGAAATACTGTAGACAAGCAGATCTCTTTGTTGTAAAGTAGTTCGTGCTACACACACACACTTTAGGCTAGGGTTTTCCTCTGGTTTCAGATGTGCTGTGCTCTGTTCCTGTGGAGTAATGCCCAGCTGAGGCTGCAGCCTGTCGAGGTGCTCTGGGAATGCATCTCCCAGTTAACTTGTGAGTAATCTTGGTTTTGTGGTTTAACTCTGCTTGATGCAAAGTATATGTGGAGGTAAATTCAAAGCTTTGAAAGCAAACCCTTTAAATCTGAACTAGAACACTGGCATAGATGATTCTTAACTCTCCTGCCTTCCATCCTTGTGTAGAGTTACTCCAGTAAAGAGGGATTATTGTTAGATCTGTGTGTTCTTGGCATCTGACATACCTAACAGTACATGGTATTGGAGTATATGGGCCCGAGGCAGATGACTTTCCTTCTGGGGGATGCGTGGAGAGATGTTTGGTTGGTTTTGTTACATAATCCCCAGACTGGTTGTCACATCCCATCAGAGGAGACCTCTGATCCTTCTCGGGTAAGGGCCTGTTTTCACAGAAAACTAAATGTCAGGAGTGCACCGTGGCCTTCTCTTCCTTAAAAACACACTGCAGCTCCTAGTCCTCCTGCAGTATCTCTGGAGCCTTTCATCCCAGAGCATAATGCTTTTCCCTTCACATGATGAGCAAGTTTCATGTTAATTTCTGGTAAATTAAATAAGAAAGAGAAGAAAAATATGGTCACAAAAAGGAAAGCCCTGCTGTTGTGGGAAAGACCACAAATGGAGAATTGTTTCTTTTCTTCTTGAACTGTCCATTTCAAGCCTAGAAACCACTTTCCACTTCCTAACAGCAGATTTTTCATAGCATTCAGGAATGTTTTCCATCCTCTTAGTGGTTGGGCCCAGGAAGAAAGCTGGGCCTGACAGCTATACCACTTCAAAAGGGATGCATGATGTTGCCATCTAAACAGTCCCTGTGGCAGGAGGAAAACAGTTTTGAGGTGAAGCATTTGGTCTTAGGGCACCCTGCTCAGAAGGCACGTGAGTTCCAGGAGCTAAGCTCTTCTTGGGGACCATGTAGACATTCAAATGTTAGCTTAAATCCTGGGCCAAAGCCAGAAAAAGGGGTTTAGGCTTTGGCATGATCCTTCTGGAAGGATTTAGACACCCTGTGCATACTGTTGTCCATTGTTGCTCTTCCAGGGATCAGGATTTGAGCTGCTGCCAAAGCAAGGCACAGCTGGGAGCCCTGTGAGCAGGAGGGTTGTTATAGCTCTGAGCATGATGCCATAGGTACCTGGGGATGGCAGAGGATTTCTGGTAGCCAAAGGATAATCTCAGCAGAGGGAAAAGAAATCCCTTCACACAGTGCAGATCTTTGACTTGCCATCTGGAAGCTCAGGAATATGTCTGTGCCAGGATTTAGCATAGTGGGGACTGTTGATGGATTGATGAGTAAGAAGAGACAGTCTTAGATATATTGCTTTTGTGGAGGAAAAAACCAAACAAAACACCACTCAACAAAAACCCAAAACAAATAGTGAGAGTTGCCTAATGCTTTTATTTGTATTATGTCCTTTCTCTGCCCTTCCTGTAAAGGCTGGAGAGGTCTGAGTGGGTGATTTTTGGCCTTGGTTAGACAGACCACTGTCTCCCCATGCAGCCAGCCCTGCCACTGAACAGAGGTGGAATTTATCAAGATGGTTTTCCTGCAGTTGTAACTAGTTATTGCCACTGGAGGAACACTCTAGATTGTAATGTCTATTCAACCCTATCATGCAAGAGACGAAAGAGGAGTGGCTTGCTCTCCTGGTTCACCATTATGTCAGAAATGGTTTACAAGCCAAACCTGTTATGAATTTTTTAAAATTTTTTTTCCCTTTGTCAGTAATTTCCCTATGAGCAGTTCTTCCCTCTAGCTCCCAAAGCATTTCCCTTCTGCTATGCTGATTCAATGCGGGGGAAAAAGATTGGTAATGTGTCCTCATGATCAATCTGGTTTGATCCATTGGAGATTGTCCTGCTCTGTGCTGGGGCAGCCTCACCTGGAATATTGTGTGCAGTTTTGGGCACAGCAATATAAGAAAGATATAAAGTTATTAAAGAGCATCCAAAGGAGAGCTACAAAGAGAGTGAAGGATCAGCTGCTCCATATGACGAGTGGATGAGGTGACTTGATCTGCTCAGCCTGGAGAAGAGGAGACTGAGCACAGAGCTCATGGCTGGGACAACTCCCTCAGGGAAGGAAGTGCAGGGACAGCTCTGACCTCTTCTCTCTGGGCCCAGGGACAGGACCCAGGGAATGGGCTGGAGTTGTGTCAGGGCAGGGTTAGGCTGGAGATTAGCAACTGGTTCTTCTTTCCCCAGAGGTGTTTGGGCCCTGAACAGCTCCCAGGGCAGTGTCACAGCCCCAAGGCTGACAGAGCTCCAGAGGTGTTTGGCCAATGCTCTCAGCACAGGGTGTGACTGTCAGGGATGTCTGTGCAGGGCAGGAGTTGGACTGGGTGATCCTTAAGGGTCCTTCCAACTCTGAGTATTCTGTGATTCTGTAAAAGATGTGCTTGCTGTAGGAAGCACTGGTGAAAACCTTCAGCAGAGTATGTTCTGTGAACTGTGTTTACAGAGAAGTTGTCTCTTCTTATCCCTGGTGACAGACCTAAAAATGGCACTTACTCCTGAGAGCACTGGAAAATCTTACGTATCTGTCCTCCTACAGAGCTGCAAATGGGTATCCAAGCAGTAGACAAAGCATTTTACCACATCTCCAGGCCCTATCTCTTAATGTTTATGGAATTGCTGAGACAAAAAGAGGTACTGCTTGCAGAAACAGGAAAAAAGCTGTTCAGGCAGAGGCTGTTTACATCTGGAAGAATGAAGGAGTCTCCTCTGCTAGAGGGGAAAAAGCTGGTGAGACCAGGCCAGGAAGCAACATTCCCTCTTTTCAAGGTGCTGACCTCTCTGAGGGGAAAAAGATGAAACACTTTTCCTCCTGCTGCCTAGCTCTGTGTATTTCATAAGTTTCTTTCACCAGATAAGGCACTTTTCCTGCTCACAGCTCTTCACAATGCTCAGGGTTCTCAGCTTCTCTCTCCCACGGATGTGTTGTAGCCAGCTCTCTGCAAAACACTTTTTCCCACAGTTACCTGTGTTGATGTTCTTTTCAATGCTTTCAGACCTTTCTGTCTGAAAGGTAGATAATTAGTCTGTCTAAAATGTTAGATAAACACTAAAGTGGTGCATTGAAGTGTTGACTTTTCAGAGCATTCGTATCATGCTGGAGCAGTGCTGACAGCTGAGTTCTGGGCTTAGGTATTGAGGAAAGCACAGAGAGAATGAAATATTATAGACAAGTCCCAAAGGCTTATGCACAAA